CATCTGTAGAAAAGAGCAAAGCTGGAGAGAGAGAGAGAGAGAGAGAGAGAGAGAGACAAAAAGAGAGAGAGGTTGTTTCGTGTTCCGAATGGAATAAGAGGCATTCGGATTTTACGATCGTTTCTTGGTGCAGCTCGTCGACGGCTTTATGGTGCGGAGAGATGACTAAAAATCGACAAACAATCTATTCCCTCTCTTGCATTGCAACGCGTGCGTTTAAGTTCGTTGTGTCGTTAGAGAAAGAGAAAGAGAAAGACAGAGACCGAAAGAAAGAGAGAGAGAGAGAGAGAGAGAGAGAAGCCGGACGATGATAAGTTCGCCCGAGGCTGTGGTGGCGGCGGCGACGACGGCGTCTTTCTCTGAAAATTTCGGCGTAACTCAAAAGCCAAGTCAAACATGGGCGTGTTTCACTGAGCGAGAGTCTGTCGGTAAATCCGGTAAAGCGACGAAAGCAAATCCCAACACGAGCGAGTCGCGCGAGTCCGACGTATAAAGCTCGCAACTTCTAATGTGTATGTTCGTACACACATCTAAACTTCTCGTAGATAAAAGGGGAGAAAAAAGAGAGAAAGAGAATGAAAGAGAAAGAGAAAAGAGAGAGAGAGAGAGAGAGAGAGAGAGAGAGAGAGAGAGAGTTATAAAAGCGTTATTAACTTTACAGCACGAGAAGAACGTATTAAAAGATTCGTGTATTAAGAGCGATTTGAGTTCATACCTCTCTCGAGTTCACTATTTTCTCTCTTTCTTTATTTTTTCAAAAATATTTGTTTTTTCTTCCTTTGTATCTTCTTAAAAAATTGATCCATTCAATGAATCGATCAGACCTCGATTTCTCATCGGAAGAAATCTTCCGATATATTTAAATCTTCGATGAAGTAGAATTCTATCCTCGTTTACTATAATTTCAAGAATGACAAATAGAATTAGATAGATAAATAGATAGATAGATAGACAGACAGATAGATAGATAGATAGACAGATAGATAGAGGTAGAGGTAAAGAGAGAGAGAGAGAGAGAGAGAGAGAGAGAGAGAGAGAGAGAGAGAGAGAGAGAGAGAGAGAGAGAGAGAGAGAGAGAGAGAGAGAGAGAGAGAGAGAGAGAGAGAGAGAGAGAGAGAGAGAGAGAGAGAGAGAGAGATAAATGTAAAAAAAAGAAATGTACGAAGACTAAAAGAGATAATTTTCGTCGTCACACGACGCATTATCTCTTACGCTAATAATTATTAATGATGTCGCGTAAAAAAAAGTTCTGGAAAAGTTTTTTCTTTGTTTCCTTTTTTTTTCCCAGTCGTTTCACGTACGATGAGTACACACCTATGTAGATGGATTAACGACGATACCTGTCATTATGCTCCTCTCCTTATCGCGAAACGCGACAAGATTAGTTGACGAGATTAGCGTTGGGTGTTATTAGCGATATTAATAACACGACGTTTGTACGTTGAAAAGCCGCGCCTTATTGTTCCAACACACATATTATTTCTTTATAGTATCTTCCAGTTGGCCTATTCTCCGAAATGGAGCTAACACGAATCTTCCGGCACATTTGTTTTAATATTTTTAATATTTTCCTTTCGGAATTCTTAAAACATTCTTCATCTTATCGACTTATCGAAAGTTATTCGAAAAAGAATAACAAAAAAAAAGATATATACATATATCTATATATACTTAAGTATGTGTGTGTGTGTGTGTCATGTTCGTAAAAGGCAATGAAGGGGATGAGGCGGCATGGACGACGAGTCGAAAACCGTGCTCGGCTTTTACGGCACTCGCAATAAAGCTTAAGTCGCTCGTAGATTTGCGGCCGGAACGTAACATGTACACATGTAGGTATATATCTATGTGTGTATATATATATATATGTATATGTATGTATATATGTGTGATGAAAGCGGCATTGCCAGAGCACAGAAGAAGCGAAGATGTCCGCGATTATTCGTGGCTTTGTCCTATGCCAATTTATATACCTTACGAGGAACAACCTTTTCTAAGGATAATACGAAATAAAGTCAACAAGGTCCTTCCTCTAAACGCGAGGATTATCGATTTGTGATTTTATTACGGTGATCGACGTGATTACACGATAATTGAAAGAAACATGACAGGAGTAAAAATTAAGATAAAACATTTATCTAAAACGATTACAATAATAAAATGGAACGAAAGAATTTATCGTTTTATTAAATTCCTTGAGATATTTTTATATAAACTTTTTGTCAAAATGTCAATACAAAGTAAAGAAATCGTCTGATCGGTCCTTTCCTCGTTATCTCGTTGAGATGAGAGAGAGAGAGAGAGAGAGAGAGAGAGAGAGAGAGAGAGAGAGAGAGAGAGAGAGAGAGAGAGAGAGAGAGAGAGAGAGAGAGAGACAAAGATGGAAAAAGGAGAAAGTGGGAGAGAGAAAGGTAGTTTACAGTACCAATTCCTAGGTACCTAATCTATCGGTCGAAAGGTATACCATGAAACAAGGTGGGATTCCTTTCTTTTCGTTGCTCGGAAGACTCGTGACAATATTTGTCGCGAGCCTGGCCCGAAGCAGCCGACGAACGCGATAGCGAGCTAGGCGGACGCGCGCGCTATTTGCCCTGGTAACATTCCCTACGGGAAGCCGTCTGTTTGTCGAGCCTTTGTTTCCGCCAGTTTCCGTTTCCTGCGCCAACAAGGCGGCACCTCTGTGATCCGCCGACTCACCGAATACGCGTCCTCTTCTTTTCTTTTCTTTCCTTTTCTTTTTCTTTATCTTTTTTTTGTTCTTTTACTTTTCCCTATTTTTTTCTTTTTCATTTTTTCTTCTTCTGTCTCTTTTTTATTTTTCTTTTTTTTCTTTTTTTTTATTTACGGAGAAACCAATCTCGCGATGATAACCTTCGAGAACCAGTTTTTTCGTTTTCCCTGTGATGATCTTTTTCTTTTATCATTTTTTTTTTCAATAACGAGAGCGTCGAATTCGTAGGATAAATATTTCCTTATAGAAATAAGATCTCATTGATAAAAATAATCGGGGATATAAAAGTATTCGTTTTATATAAGAAAAAATTGTTTGTTTGTTTTTTTCTTAGTTTCATGATTATCGTTATTGCTTCATCAAACTCCATCTTCATTTCTATCTCTTTCTTCGTCGAACATACGTCGAGGTCGAGCAGTGGCTGGAAGGATCGGAATCCACCCTCGCGTTTCGTCGGCGTTTTCTTTGTTGCTCATTGTCCCCTTTCCCCTTTAGCTTTAACGTTAGTAGCAACAGCAGCAGAAACAGAGAAGAAGAAGTAGAAGAAGAAGTAGAAGAAGAAGAAGAAGAGGAGAAGGAGGAGGAGGAGGAAGAGTCGGCAGTGAATCGAGATCTCGCGAGGGAGGCGATCGTCGCGTCCGCGTGGGATCGCCCAATGAAACGATACCGCGAGATTTTAATGGGCGTGGCTCCGAGAGCTCTACGTCGTGTCTGGGTCCGTGCTGGGACTCGTGATACCGGTGGGGGAAGTCGCGACGGTACGTTTGGTGGGGGTAGCTCGCGGACCCGAAGCCGCGCGAGTGAGCGAGTCGTCTAGGTGGGGGTAGGACGACTATACGACGGACTACTGTGCATTTCCCACGTGCCCTGGGAACCCCCGCGGCATCGCGTCAGCCCCCGCTCTTCTTCGCTCTCTTCTACGTCTCCTCCGTCTCCTCCTCCTCCTCCTCCTCCTCTTCTTCTTCTTTTTCTTTTTCTTATGTTCCTCTTTTCCTCCTCCTACGATAATTCTCGACTTTTTGTCTTTTCGATCTTTCCTTCGTTTCTCGATGAAATTATTTAGAAAAAAATATATTCGCGATTTATTTTTAAAGACGCGCGATTCTTTTTGAAATTCTCTAAGATCGTCTTTCTTTGGTGGTGGGTATAGCAGCTACCGCTGCCGCGGGGGGTAAGGTTTATGGCGAGAAAGAAGGATAGGCGAGGAGGAAGAGGAGAAGGAAGAGGATAGAGGTGGCCGAGGTCGCGCGCTCGTGCTCTTCGCGTGGGCGAAGAGGGATGCGCTCTCTTGGTTACGTCTCACGGTTACGAGGGCGGTCCTAATGGCGGAGCCATGGAAGGGATCGGGAGGGGCGGGGAGACGCGGCTCCGCTTCGAGCGGGAGCTCAGGAAGCCGCGTCGTCGAAGGATTTGTGAGTAACCGCGCTGCTATTCGGCGACCAAAGAGACAAGGACGCATGCAGAGAGCCGGGATAAGGAGCGCTACCACTTCTTCCACTTCCATCCTTCCACCTTCCTCCACTTTCCTCCTCCTTTTCCACCTCGTGCTCCCGTTCTTCCCCTACCCTCCCACCATCAACACCAACACCGAGAACAAGTTACAACTACTATCATGAAGAAGAAAGATCTTGGAAGGTTCCTCGTTGGAATGAGGGAGGCTCCCTGCACACCTACGACAGCCGGTGGTCGCATCCGTGAGTCGGCACGGTAGGGAGATGTCTTCCGATCCTCCTCCAACCAGAATAAGCAAGAGACAACGCCGCCGCCGCCGCCACTGCCGCCGCCGAAGAATACGAAGACGAAGACGACGAAGACGACGAAGACGACGACGACGACGACGGGCACGATCACGACCAGGATCACGAAGGAAGAATAGGAAGAAGAAGAGGAAGAGGAAGAAGAAAAAGAAGAAGAAGAGGAGGAAGATGTAGAAGAGGAAGAAGAAGAAGAGAAGAAGAAGAAGAAGAAGAAGAAGAAGAAGAAGAAGAAGAAGAGGACGTCCAGGACGAAGACAACGAGTACGACTTGCCGGGGACCTTTGGCGGTTACACACCGCGTCCTACCGTCCTCCGGTGTGCCTACCTATTCGGGCTACCAGCAATCCCGCCGACCAAACGGAGCTTCAGTCGACGCCGCGCATCCAAACGGTCCAGACCTGTCAGCCCGGAAGATAGCCGCGCACTATCCCGAACACTTCTCTTAGACAACTATCCTATATATATATCTACAATTAGATACTATTAAGTCTTTCACTTTCTCATCAAACTTTTAT